TTTAAAAAGAAGACAAGCCGTACATAGCGCAGGTTTTAAGAATCTCTGTGGTTTAAGATGCTGCCGAAGACTACATTCAAACCACATTTCCATCCATTCCCAGATGGATTACAAAAACTGAGGAAAGAGCTGTTCCTGCCTCCTTCCTTCCCCAACTTCATGCTCGGCTAACCGGGGGTCAAAAGAAAAAGAGTATTTTCCTCAGCATGTGTCGCCCTGAGTTCTTGAGGCGAAAGAGAGGCAAGGGAGGGGCCGAGGGGATTTCCCGCTCCATTTCTCTCTCTCCCCCCCCTCAAAAAAACCCCCTCGTCCTGACAGAATTACCGACAGTCAGGGGCGCGCAGGAAGAAAGGGGGGGGAGAGGAAAGAGACCCAGGACGGACGTTGGCAGCGACCGCGGAACCGGCGGCAGCCATGGAGACGAGCGCGAGGGTCCGACAGTTCATTTACCTGCCTGTGGGAGACGACGAGGCTCTTGTTGCCTTCGCCGTGATACCGCCATTCATTCTCGTCCATCTCCGCCTCCATTCCCCTCCAGCCGACGGCTCCTGCCTCCTGGCGAGCAACCTCCTCTTCTCTTCCTCCTCGGCGGCGGCCGCTTTTACTCTCTTCCTGTGCGTGCGCGCCCACGAGCGCAGCTGGTTTTCTGGCTCTCGGACAGAGACGTTCCCGAGTCAAGCCCTCGGTCGTTTTCCGACACACACACGGCACTTTCACCCGGAGCTGAATAGGAAGCCCCACCTTCCGCCAAAGGCCAGAGGGAGGCCACCAGCCCGAGAGATTAATAGGAGCTCGGGGGTGGACGGGATGTCCTCATCGAGCCATCTTTTGTTTGGGCAGCAGCTTCAGCCGCCATTTTTTTTCTCTTCCCACGTGGGTTTCGCTGCGGACAGCGATGAGCGCCATCTTTAGTCTTGGCAGGAAAGGACAAGGAAAGCGTCACCGTGTATTCCCGAAGGCGTTATCGGCGATCGGGAAGAATTTAAGAGTACAGTATGTGTAATAAAGTGTGTGTGTCACTGCATGAAGAAAAAGCCGACCACGAATTTGGTCTGTTACACCATTCAGTTGTTTCAACTTGGATTCCAGCTTTTTAATCGCAAAGGTGTTGCATGTACTTGTTTAGTCGTTCAGTCGTGGCGGACTCTTCGTGACCCCATGGACCAGAGCACGCCAGGCCCTCCTGTCTTCCACTGCCTCCCG